AGTGAGTCTTGTCGTGAGATTTAAAATTCTTGGTATCATGACGAATACTTTCTCGCTGCGCGAATCTTATAGCGACTCTTGGCATGGCAGCAAGACGAAATCGACGAGTCTAAAACTTAAAGTCTTGCAGGGAGTCACGATAGCGATTCATAGCTCGACTTTCACGACTCACGCGGATCGCGATAAGAAAAATTGTCGCGACGCGATCGCGAAGTAGGATTTTTTCCAAAAATAAGAATTCATCGCGATCGCGCCGCGATACTGAGACTTTTTAATGATCGCTATAAGAAAAAATTGTCGTGACGTGATCGTGTTCGACTCTTATTTTTCTGAAAAAGAGTTCGTTTTTCATGACCAGAAGTAAACCGACTATGGAAAAATGCGACATACTTCCAGTTTTTTCTGTTTCCTACACTAGTAAAGAAACACATACAATTTGTGTCGGATACCTACCACTTTAAAACTCGTCTAATGTTCTACAAAGTAAGCTATATATGATATCTCGAACAGTGGGTTCAAGTTTAAGCGTGGTGCTGAAAGTCCCTGGACTGGTATTAGGGGCCCTCAGATGATCTTTAAGTAGATAAAAACATAAGTTATCGATCATACCGAATCTTGTGGCAATGTTTTGTTTTTAGAAGAGGTGGGTAAACCTAGTGAAACTGAGTTTCGAGGAAAATCTACCAATTCAGTGTTAATATATCCCATACAGAAACAGCTCAATTTTGTTGAGTTTTATTATACAGAATACGCTAGATGTTGCATCATGTTATAATTAGTGCTTATCACGCCAATAAGAGCGCTACTGTAAGAACAAATTTTCTTAAATCTACTGGAATGTTTGGATGAGTAAAGGGTTTCATCAAAACTTCTACGATCACTTGAAAACATAGTCTATCAGTTAACAGCAATCGAATAAAAATACCCGTCTCATCAACACTTAAAATTCATATGGACCTAGTAGCAGCTGAATCTCACTATCTATTAATCGAAGAATGGCATTGCTTTAAGCTTCAATGTTTTTGTTTTTGACTATTAAATCTAAATCCGATCAAAGTTCTTTCGGTTGATACTTTCATTGAGTGGCTGTGAGCTTTTTTGATTATTATGTTAAACACTCAAGTATTGAGAGTATAAACGTTCGTTCAGCTAAAAGTGTACTTTCAATCTTTGTTGACAGCTATATGCAGCCCGTCACCAGGCTGTCTAAATGGAGGTACGTGTACATCGCCCAACGTTTGTCAGTGTTATATTGGTGGCTTTGGAAACCAATGGCAAGGCTCCGTCTGTCAAGATCGTAAGTGGTAAAATTTTTGTGTTAGTGAGGAGTTTCGCTATTCATTCTTTTTTCGCATTTTTCTAGATTTGCCGAGTATCATTACTCAGACGAGTGACACATATTATGCCATTTGTTACACAGTTGCCGGCGGTGACAGTACAGCATCAACACCCGGTTCCGGCGCTTGTCAATATACCCACGGCGCATTGGATGAAAATCCATTGCAGGCTGTGGATGGTAATGTGAACACCAAATATTTGAATTATGGTTATGGTTCATCATCTCAATCAAGTTCAACACAGGGCACGAATACTGGGTTTTACGTCACACCACTTAATGGTATTTCGGTGTTGAAAGGCATACTGTTTGCCACTGCTAATGATTCTCCTGAACGAGATCCAATTACTTGTACTGTCGAAGGCAGTAATTATGGCTCATCATCACTGTCATATGGCTGGGCTTGGACTCTCATTTATTCTGGCACTACAGGTATTCCAGGTGGCTACGATCCTGGTCGATTGATATATATGTCATCAGTGGCAATTAGCAACAATGTTTATTATACATCTTATCGAATATTGATTACTTCACAACGTGGAGTGGCTAATAGTGTACAATATTCAGAAGCGCATCTGCTCGGCTATTAACTGCTGTTTTTACTGTTTACTAATCTCTGTCTTGTCAATATGTTTATTAAATTTTTTTTCCTACTTGTACCCAGACGCTATGAGCGTACCCAAGTCAACTTTCTTGCCCCAGTCGCGGCGCGAGTCGCGATAAAAAGTCGCGGCAAGTACGCGTAACGCGATCATGGTTATGATCGCG